AGGAATTTTTCATTTATTTCCTACAATGTATAATTTTTATATCTTAGTTACCTGTGTGTCAATCCACAAATATTTTTTCCAATAGATGAAAATTAGGCTAGATTTGTTAAAGGTGCATAATATTTTGAACACATTGTATAAGTAATTGAAATAATCAAATTTTACTATGGGTTCTTGATAGAACACTATCATTCACTCTTTGGTTTGTACTGTTTTCGTATGGTTGCTAATGTCTTATATGCATGATAAAGTTTCCGAGCATTCCGCCTTTTAATAAACATTTAACACCTGGGTGTAATGTGCAAATCTTCATCTTTAAAAAAAAGGAGAAAATTACATTGGTCTTTAATTATTGACTTGTTATTAATTTACAATATTAACTTTAATTTCAGTAGAGTTCTTATTTATTTAGAAATGGTTTTAAAAATTAAAACCAGAAAAGAAAATTTTAAAAAATAATTTTTTCCTTGTGACTTTAAAAATTAGTTTGCTTTATTTTCACTTTATTTTTTTATCACGTATATTGTTTGCGTTTTTCGAAAAATATAATAAAATCTTACCCCCAGTTAAGATTTCCCAAGGTTTTGCCTGATTTTCAAAATTATTCCCCGGATCCCAAGGGGGGTCATGAATTCCCAAGATCTTGGGAAAATTCCCAAGGTGTGGTAGCCCTGTTGACGCGATGATAGTGTCTAGTCTAGAGCTGCCACTCACTTTTTTAAAATTCCCAAGTTTAGGTCAAAAGATTTCCCAAGATTTCCCAGGATAATAATAAATTATAGTTATAAGTGGCCCGGTATCAGAAGTATTAATATTAAAAACACTATTGTTGGGTTTGTAAGACAAATTTTGTTATCAAATGAAAGATAATTGAATGGACTATACGTTTATAAACTTACTTCTTCAATGTAACTAAAATAAACTAACACAAAAGATATTGGAATAGCATATAGTCTGATGGGACCAGGGCACGCATGGCCGCTATTCGGACCCGGGTCCTTTTTTAACGGAAGTAGGATTAAGACAACAAAAAGGAAATCTCTTAAGTTTTTTTTTTTTTTTTACTGTGATCTGATAATTATTATTATCTTTTTGTCTTGTTTTCTGTTGAAGGCTCTAAGCCGAAATGTCAAAATTATTTGTACTTTCAATGAATTCAAGTTTAACATACCTTGTTTGGTCCTTTTTTAACGGAAGTAGGATTAAGACAACAAAAAGGAAATCTCTTAAGTTTTTTTTTTTTTTTTACTGTGATCTGATAATTATTATTATCTTTTTGTCTTGTTTTCTGATGAAGGCTCTAAGCCGAAATGTCAAAATTATTTGTACTGTCAATGAATTCAAGTTTAACATACCTTGTTCTTATATTTCATTTTACAACTTGAAATGGGTCCATCAAATATTATATTGTATTCATTTATGAGTGGTTTTAAAAAGTAAAACAATTCGTAATGCAGAAAAGATTTAAAACAATTAATTTTTTCCTTGTTACTTTAAAAATTATGTTGCTTTATTTTCACTTTAATTTTATCACATTTATTTGCGTTCTGTTCAAATTATGTCAAAAAGTCGTCCACTGTTAAGATTTCCCAAGGTTTTGACTGATTTTCAAAATTATTCCCAAGATCCCAATGGGGGCTTGTGAATTCCCAAGATCTTTGGAAATTTCCCAAGATGTGGTAGCCCTGCAATTTTTCCAATGATAAGGTGGCCAAGTGTAAATCTCAGCAAAAGCACATGCCAGGTAATACAATCGTAATATACAGACGAAATAAGCGGATTTCGATATTCTTTACATGTATACGTAATTTAGGTTTGCACCAAAGTTTATATTTACCAGAACAGTTTATCTGAGTTGTTATTTTATTAAAAACCGTTCAACTTGTTTTTGTTTTTTTAATTGCGGTAGCGTTGATTCTAAAATGTGCCTTGAGTGATTAGTGTGTGCGGTACACCATGACAATTGCCTTTATGTTTTTGGCATTGAAATGCTAAAATATTTAATTGCTCTTTATAATGACTCCTTTATTAATTAAGATAAATTTTTGATTTAAGCAGGTGCGATTGACATGTATCAAATTGAACTAATTGAGTTTCTTAAGCCAATGGAGGATGCAAAAAACTTATTCGTTGGCAATATTAATGTGAAGTCAGATACAATGGATCCTGAAACACTTAAGGTGTTTTTCTTATTATTATTTTCTCTAGGCCTATTAAAATACTATTTTTACTAAAACTATAAAACTAAATTTCCTTTTTTTTTTTTTTTTTTTTTTTTTTAAACCCGGTCCCGGTACTAAACTAGTCGGGTCTATGTCTTTATCTTTTTTTATGTAACCCGCAATGTATCAGTGTAGATAGTTTTGAATGGAACCATCGCATCTCTACTTTAAAAATAAATAAAGCAACCTATTCTGTTGGGCAGATTCTCAAATATGCCCATTTGAGCCATTTCTTATAATTAATTACTGAGTGGAAGTTGACTGAAGCCTATTCTTATTCATTATAATATAGACATTGTATCTTTACTCATTTACGACAATGACATTTTAGTGATTAGTGAATTTTTTAATTGGCAATGGTCAATGGTCAAACGCCACCAGTGGCAGTGGTGTATCATGTATAATGTATGCGTTGTATGCCAATCAATGTCATAAATGCCCTTTCCTATTGGGCTTGGGCATAGACTATAGATAGTCCGTAAAAGTCTCAAATCACGGATAATAACATTATTAGTAATTAGCAAGTTTAACAAAGAATAAATATTTTATTATCATCCGGGGAGGGGGGGGGGGCGCATAAAGTGTATGAGTATAAGATTGAGAAGTTTCAAACTTCAAAGGCTAAAGTTATAATTAAAACTCCTTGTCATAAGACCCTTTCCAATTTGAAATTCCTTGAATGTTCTACCTGGCGTCTACCTGAAACTTTATTTTGCATTTTGAGCTGTGAAATGTTACATGAATCAGTCTTGTCAGATTGTTGGGTATGACTAACAAACTCCTGGAGAGTTTTATATCATTTTATTTTGATGCTGTCAGAGGCAATTTATAGTACACATAGAGAGGGTTTACTAGGATATTATAATAATAATATTATTATATTCGTAACATTTCTCTAAGACCTTTATCTACATTGGTAATATTTTTTTACATTGGTAATATTTGTTCAGTGTATGCATAGTATGATGGTTGTAGTTTCTTGGCAATTAGTTTTGTCAGTATTTTGTAGGTTATATTTAATAAGGAAATTCCACTGCAGTTTGTGTCTTGAAGTTTGGAACCATTTTTTGTATTGGTTTATTAGTGTTGTTTCCCATTCTGCAAGAATTTCCTCTTATTGCTGGTTATAAGTTTATGTTTCTTGAGGGTGCAATTATTTTTATTACTATTATTAGTGGACTTATATAGCGCGGTACCCCAGGCTAGGGCTGGGCTCACTGTGATGTACATAAAAATATTAGCAAACATAATCATGACAACAACAAAAATAACATACATTTATTTAATTAAAAAAACGCTATATAACAACACCCCAGAAGTTTTTCATGTCACGCCATGGACAGTGACCAGCAGCATCGTTTATCGGCAATTGGGGGGAATCAGTCGGGATAGTAGAGTTTAAAGAGATGTGTTTTGAAGGCCTGTGAGGTTGGTATATTGTAGATGTGTAGTGGGAGAGAATTCCATTGTTTGGGGGTGAAGAAAGATAAAGATCGTTAAATTCTCTTCCTCCATATTTAATAAGTTTTGCTGTAATGAGGCAGAAACCGGGGGTGCACCCTGCAACCCCTGTGACTGCATGGGGCCTTTGGATATTTGGGACCCAAAGTTATAGATGGAAAAAAAATAATCTATCAGCTTTAAATACATGGTGCTTAAATGGAAAAGTTGTAGGAGGCCTCCAAAAGGGTTCTAAATGAGGTCTTCTTCAGGTGCTACAAAACAAGAACAAAGGTACTTTTAATTAATTGAAATTAAGATAGGGCTCAAATCATTCTTAACCCATAATAAATTACACACACCTTGTGCAATGTAATTTCCATTGTTGATAGCTTGATTGCACCCTCCCATCCCATAATAACAATTTTTTACCTAAATGTACTTCTGTCCAAAATATTAATGGAAGCTCAAAAAAAAAACTCATGTTATAACTGTTCAAATTAATTACAGTATGTTTATAAATTTAGCAAAGACTTATCCAATATAGTTATTATTTTGCATCCAGCAAAAGTAAATGAATTATTAATCTGGATAGTATTACAAAAGATATAGTGGGTCTAAAGCATAGCTATATCAGTATGTTTAATATATAAATTGGATAAACAAATTGTAACGGGAAGGTGCTGCAGGGAGATACATTTGGAGATCTGCCATCCCAGATCCAGATGGTGATCTGGTTTTTCCTCCTTTATGGAAACTTGAGTGCTTTTTTTTCCACTGGCAACTTGCTAGGGCTAGGCCTGTGGCAGCAGTGTTTGCAAGGTTTTCTTCTCTTAGATAATTACATCTTCCAGACACTAGTTTGTATGTCATCTTACAATGTGGAAACACATTTACCTGGTCACCCATTATAAAAACATACAATATTAAAATCATACATTATTTAGTTCCATGTATGTGTTGTAATTTCTTTGGGTTTTTTTTTTTTTTTTTTTCAGCTTGTGTTTTACAAATCATTTTCAAGATTTGGCATACTCTTTGAAGTTAAAGTTTTTTTTTACACAAGTCTTACAAGTACCAAAGCAATAGACAGTAACACTTGTAATAAAGGTGAAATCATTTTAGTGATTTTACTGGACATCATTAAATCAATAGACAATTTACTTATTGAAATCATATCTGTCTCATTTTTAAAATTTACAAGTTATATTAAGATAAACCAGTTCTTCTTCTTCAACTGTTGAGGTCATATTTTAATCACTTGTTTTTAAATGACCAGTAACTTCCAGTAACTGGTAACTGAAATTAATCACTCTACGTAGATGGTGAAGCAAAAAAACAGACATCCCATTATGCCTTTGTTAAATTTTACTCAAAGATGTCAGCACAACAAGCTAAAAGTTCTCTCCACCTCACATCTATAGTTGGAACAGATGCTTGCAAGGTTAAACATTTTTTATTTTGATTATCAAACATTTTTTTAAACTTCCCCTTAGATGCCTTAGTGATACTTTTTTATTTTATTATAGTTTTACAAACATTTCAAATATTAAATTTACCAAAATACGATTATAAAAAGCAAAATTTTGAAATTTAGGCTACCCTACTGCATACATTAAACATAAATAAAATGATAAAATTACTTATTTTTAATGCATGGTTTTAAACAGTTGCTCTTTTATACCATGTACTTTCCATTTCTTAAAAACATAGTAATGATAAGTAATATAAAGATAATACAATTACTGCTGTTGTGATGAAATTATTTTCCAATTGATATTTTATGCTGATGATATTGTGGAGGCATAATGCTTCATAATGACTTAAAATATGTTCAGTTTGAAAGAGGGGAGCATAGAGGCCCTCAGAAATTATGCCAGGCTATTTTTTACATATTTTAATATCACGAATATGTGACCAATTAGCTAGATCGGATGTCATTTATGGATGACACCCCCCCCCCCCCCCCCCCAGTATTAATTTTTATTCTGCACTGAAAAAATATTTATAGTAATATGTGTTTCAGAACTGAAAGGATGCTATTAAATCAGGTTTAATTTTAATTATTTACATTTCAACAGGTTGATTATGCTAAACGCAAAAAAATATCTGAAAATGACAAACAAGTGCTGTATATAACTCAGTGTTATGATTTAGCCAACTTTTATCTAGGATTTAATGGATGGTCATCAGCCATTAAACAGGTATGTTGTGGTTTAAGATTAACTATAGTTATTATATTAATAAGATCAGTGGTGTAGCTAAAGCTAATGAGGCCCAGGTGGGTCTAAAACTTTGCCGGTCCCCTTCCACAAAAAAACTTTAGTTGGGCAAAAATGCCACACTTCCATATGAATATACTGGTAATTAAAAAAGTGCCACCTCAGCACCAATCCCTCCTCCTCCACCACTGAATAAGTTAAATAAACAATCTGATATTATACATTTTCCAAAAAATATTGTAGTGGGCAAGAAACCTTTTTTATAAAAACATTGATAATTACACTTGGATGTTTCATGAGATCAATTTTTGGGTCTTCTTGATTCTTAAAGATCAGCACCAAAATTCCTGGATGTTTAAAAAAAGTACTATGTGCAAGACAACAATGAAGTCTCTAAAAATATTTGTTATAAAGACTGGGCTGTAGTGGAGTTTCTCATTGTAGCTGGGAATGAAATTTTCTATATGCATGTAAACTCCCCAGACAAATATATATGTTATTTAGCATTCAACAGTATTCAGAATCAGCTACTACTATATGTAAGGACTGGACATGCATGAATGGTTAAGAGCAATATTATAAATAAAAACACAGAATCTGCATAATTTTGTTATGGAATTTCAATTCTCTTTAGTTGACGGTAGATACGGCAGAGACAGATTCATCAGCAAATGAGGAGACCTGTAGAGCCACTTGTATTGTTGACCTACACATTCATAAATCAGGTCTGAAAGTTACAGGTTTGGGCATTTCAGAGACATCCTTTTCTTGCAGAGGTGAGACTTTAAAATGGTGGGTCTCTATGTGGTGCTCCCTTTCATCATTGTTGAGAACAGAAAAATTTCATAGTTTTAACATTTTTATAACAAGAGATTTTTCTCCTCAGTCTGTAGCATTTTCAAAGTTATAACATTGGACTACTTCTATGAATAAGAAGCAACTTTGCCTTTACAACATATTTTTAAAGAAAGTAAATACTTCTAAAATTTTCCTCTTCATTGGTTTGTGGCTCTTACTCAAAGTGAACAAAGAGGCTTTTGAAAATGTGAAACCTTTTGTGTGGTATGAATTTCTAAAAATAACCCAAACTTAAGATGTTTATGCTGCAGGTGATAATATATTTTATTTTATACAATCATTATTAAATTATTTCCTCAGATCTGACAAGTAAAATTCAGGCCTTTGCTGTGGGTAAAAAGCGTTCACATCAAAATGCCATACAAAATGCCTTCTCTAAAGTAATTCTTATTGTGTTGAGTAATGGAAAGGTTTCTGCAGCTATTAACTCAAATGTTAAAGAACATGTGGAGGAGTTTAAGCCAGAATATGGCTATTTGAGTGTGAGTCTTCTAGTTATATCATTTTTTAACCATTAATTTTAAGGTGCATAGCCAGGTTTTATAATTAAATTTAATCAGTAAAGCATTAATGTCTTTTCTGCCATAATTTCTCCTGTAATGTCTTTTCTGCCATAATTTCTCCTGATACATATTTGGCAGAATAAATTTATTTCCCAACCAAGTAACTTATTGAGCTGTTGATAATTTTTTGGAAATTACTTTCTCTCCTGCCATTATAAATTTATATTCTAATAATTCTAATATTTACAATGAATTTAAACTCAAACAATGTAAAGAAAATATACCTTTTCTGTTTTGATTTGAAGAAGCCTTTTGTATTATATTTATTACTGGTAGTTAATTATTATCTTCAAATCATTCAGGTCAATAACCTTGAACAAGAACCAGAGGAATCCAGTGATGAACAAGAACCAGAGGAATCCAGTGATGATGAAGATTTAGAAATTCTAGATAGAAGAAACATTAGTATCTTACAAGGCTTGGGCCAGGATGTTGGTTAACAAGGCTTACTTATTCAAAAATAAATATTGAATTTTTTAACCATAAATCTCTGTTATTTATTAATTTCACTCTCAGTTGTGTTCTGCAAAATCATTTTTGACATCACTTTTATTAAGCCTTTTGTTAAATATCTTGATATTTGCATGAAGGAAAATAAATATGATGCACATAGTGACAAGACAAACATGTTTGGAAATCTATGATAAATTAATAAAACAAGTATTTTTTTTTTAAAGTTTTATTATTATTATTGTATTTAAAGGAGGGTTCATTCTCATTAAATTCATCTTGTAAATTCTTAACCTCCACTCTATCAAGAATGCAGGTAAAGAAGTCTCTTTTGCATCTCCAGGCTCAACAAAGGAATACTTTTTATTTTTTGTTTAACATCAGCTTTCTTTTCCTTTTCATCTAATTCTAATCACTTAATTAAGTTCCTTTTCAGAAATGTACAGTCAGGCTCCACAGTAATCCTCAGACACCTCAATGGATATAGGAAAGTGTATTTCTTAAGATTTGTTTAGCCATTTATATTTATAGGCTATCCTTTAGAAATGATTGTTCCCTTAGTTTTTGAACTCATCCATGTCTTGAAAATATCCTTTTTAGTGGAGAAGTTATGAGTTTATTTTCAATATTTTCTATCCACTCAAACTAAAATTTAGGAGGTTAGAAGCCCTGAAACTTAATTTTTTCTAAAAATGCCAAACATTTCTACACATTGCATTTCTTTGCAAAAAGACAATACTTAAAAATTTCCGTAATGATGAGCAGACTTCATCATCAGAAAATAGATGAAATGCATTGAAGATCTAATTAGCAATTCATTCCTCTTTTTTCAGTTGTCAATGACATGTTCTAATCTGACAAATAGTGGCTGTGGCATATGGCTAAATCCTGTCTCTCTCCTAACAATTTTATTTAAAATAAACAGGTGCAGGCCTATATATTTAACAGGTGTTAGTCATGACCAACAATTGTTTAATTACTAAAATACAATTTGTAAAGTCCAATGTCTCTACAATAAATTCACCACCAACGTTTAATTTAAGGATTAGGGCCATCCATGTGGAACAGGGGTCACCAAACTGCGGTCCGGATCCGGCCCGCCAACTTGAACTTGCTTGATAAAACGTATGGAACACGAAACGTTGTGATACAATTTAAATTTCAATATTATGTTTAGAATACTAGGATATCTTCACACGTGCGGAGACCTCCTGGCTGCTATGTGCCTTAATTTAGCACTTTCAGTTTTAAATTATTATATCTAGATTTTCTTGTACAGACTTGTTTCCCCTCGAACTACTAAAATCGTTCAATATCGTCTCAAAATCATACAATACGGTATCTTAATAGTAAAAAATAAACATACTATATGTAAAATTAATACAATAACTACTCGCATCGCAGTGCCTAATGGGACCGAGTTAAGTTGGCGTCAAAAAGTTAACTTCCAAAGGTAGATGACTGACGTTTATAAACTTTATATTAGTGCAATCTATGGTCATTTTGTTTTGCAGACGTGTATATCATTTATATTAATTTATCGAAGTGGCTATAGGTACCCGAGTACCCATCATCGCCAATGACTATTCGCACCCGAAAGTCTTAGTAATCGAAAAAAAACCATGATCCGAACCAGAGGCTTAATAATCGACAAGTTTGCCGCGCTTTCTTTTATAAAATTGGAGGTTGGCAGCATTTTTGACACCTATGCGTCTTTTGAAGACGAATTGAATTATTTTTGTAAAAAACACAATGTGTGTTTCACTAAAAGATCGCCAGAGAAGATGAAAGATCCCAATTTGGAACACCTTAAATATGAATTTATAATTCACTGCTGTAAACAAGGAGTTAAACGCAAGTCAAAGTCTTCAACGACAACAGGCCAAAGAAAATAACAAGCTAAATGCGTAAGTAAAAAAGTAATAATAATAGGTTAACTTTAAATTTATTTGGACTTGTCATGTAATAATTCTTTCTCCAAGCCAATGATTATTACCACGGTAAATGTAGAGGACGAATGCCACTATTTTATCGATGGCTGCGACAAATGTATCCCTAAATCGATCCCTATGCCTAACCTGAACCCTAAATCGACCCCTCAACCTAACCTAAACCCTAATTCACTGCAACTATAATAAAGAAGCAAATGACGCCGTGGCATTCGTGCTCTACATTAGCCCTTATCACTTGTGGCAATTCGTTGAGAATTTTTATATTTTTCAGTTCTTTCAAATTGGGATGCCAGGCAAAGATAAAGCTTGTTGCCAAGAGAAATCCATCTCGGCTAGAAATGACCAAATCAATGCTTGAACATACTGGCCATGAAGTATCAAAAGAAGTAAGTGCATGTGCTGCGAAAAATATTTAGACAAAATAATAATAATAATAGCATATTCTTGTGGCAGGTTGTTTCACCTACAGGTACACTAGTACTATAGAGTTAGAGATGGATGCATTTAAAAGAATGTTTTGTACCATTCATTAACCCATTCAATCTAGGGCGCTCAGAAATTTTATCATTGAAAACTTAAGGTTAGGGTTATCACCCTTACCATAGAATTAGAAACTTTGTGATTATTGTGACATTTAATAAACTTATAACATTTATCCCCAAGGTGAAAGTTAGTTATTTTTATGTACACCGCACTATATAAGACCAACGTTCCCTCTAAGGCTTGTTGGTTTGTGTGCAAAATCATACAGTTATGTGCAAAGTTTTACAGCATCAACTTTTTGTGTGCAAAATTTTACAGTCCAGAAACACAAACACACACTTACAGGCGTCTGTGAGATGGGAACATTTTATAAGACCACTAATAATAATAATAATGTTTGCAGGGCATATTTTTTTACATAATACTTATTATTGCAAAATAACCTTTGTGTGTTTTTTTCCAGATGTGCCGCTTGTATCCTGAAAACCCCAAAGTGGAACTAAATGCGGCAACGCATCTGTTGATGTCCTGCACCACGATTCAGGAATCTGAGGTCCGGCAAGTGCTTGAAGAACAGCATGATGTGGATTTGCTCCCCAGGGATATTTACAATATTAAATCAAGAATAAATAAATCATCTTCTGATGCAACTGAAACTCAATCTATACTTCATTCTATATCACAAGCTGGTGGAAGTGTGTCGTATGGACTAACAGAAAGTGGGTAATTTAAGTATTTATCATACATGACTCATGATATGATTAGAATTATTGCCCAATATCCAGAGATTTTATTAATGGATTTCACATATAAAACCAATAAATATTTATATCCACTTTTGACTGTAATGGTTATTGATGGAGAGGGCAGGGGCATTCCTGTTCTTCATGGTTTTGTAAAAAATGAAGATACGGAATCTATTTCTCTTTGTTTGCAGCGTCTTCTGAAGAATTCTGATTCCAGTCTTTTCAAGTGCTTTGTGGTTGACAAAGACATTGCTGAAATCTCTGCTATAAATGATCTGTTTCCAAATGTACCTGTTAATCTATGTCATTTTCACATTAACCAGGCTATGCACAGGTTTCTTTCGAAACATGTAGGTCCTGAGTATGTTAATCCAATTCTTGAAGGATTTATGTCTCAAGTTTATACTGAGTTCTACCATAATGTTTAAAAATTTTAAATATGTCTAGAAAATTCTTATCTTTTGTGAATGTGTGAATATGCCTTGCTGAAACTAGTTTTGTAAAATATTTTTTTTAAATATTTATTTTTTCACCTTTGCCTGATAATTTCACATTGAAATGCTTTAAATTTCATTATATTTGACTCCTATATTTCTAATATTGCTTAATTTAATTTTTTTCTCTTTTTAAAGTGGTCCACTTAGGATTTCCATTTATCTCTGACATCAAATGTATTATGAGGAAAAGTATTATTACCACATGCTTCAAATTTGCAAGGTTGTTTCTATTATAGTCTCTACATAATGATTATGATTGATCTTATTTATTACATGTCTGATAAAAAAAAAATCAGAAGTTTTTATCATCTTATTTTTATTGGGCTCGAGGTATGTGGGTTGTTGGTATAATGCATTCATTTATATTCTATCAATTATATCTATGTTCTTAAATTGTTATTTTTAATTAACGAGTGGAATGTGTTCATGGTGTATGCATCCAATGTTGTTTCAGTCTCTTTTTCAGCTTTTATAGATATAGCATTTTCATTTCTTTTTTTTTCCAGACATCAATTGATGAATCAGGAGGAATAGTTTTGGAACTACATAATTGAAACTTTGCATGCTTATTTATATTGAGATTCTTTACTTTATGATGGATTGTTTTTAAACAAATGTCTCATAGGAAAAGTTTTCAGAGAATGTTTGTATTTATGCAATTTATTTATTAGGTTCGTGTTTTAATTTTTTTCCTATCTTTTCTGTCTTAGTTTTCCAATTGTTTTTTAAATCATGAAGGATATATGTACATGGTGTATGCATCCTATATCGTTCATGCAGCCTCTAATTTAAAAAAACACAATTTTTTTTTTCATTTTTCTCAATTTTGCATTTTCCGGATTTTTAAGGAACGCCAAATGAATCGGGAGGAAAAGTATTCTAGCTACAGCCTTCAAACATTGCATGCTTCTTTTCATTGATATTATTTATGAAATTCAAGAGGTTTTTTTTATACATATATATATATCCAATTAGAAAGTTTTATAACATTTTTACATTTGCTACCCCTGAAGAGTTCTCAAATATTTATGTGACCCCCACATACATGCAATTTGTAACAATTCCAATAACTGCTGTGTAATAATCTTCTTTAAACTTTTTGTCAATGTTATTCTTAATATGTATGCCAAGTTTCATTTACAATACAGTACAATAATTTACAATACAATGCAATACAAATTTGTTTTTTTGTGTAATAATCTTCTTTAAACTTTTTGTCAATGTTATTCTTAATATGTATGCCAAGTTTCATTTACAATACAGTACAATAATTTACAATACAATGCAATACAAATTTGTTTTTAATCATTTTGCGTAAAGTCAAAATTGATATTAAATGTTTAATTTTTTGCAATAAAAGTCACAACAAATTTTTTTTTAAATTTAGTGGATTTTTGTCTTTCTGTTTGTGTATGGTTTGTATGTACTGTATTTTTTTCAATGGCTCTATTTATTTAGGTTATCAGTATTTTATTTTCAATGTGGCATGACTTAGTTGCCTTGAAACCAAACTCCCTTC